CGTAGGGTTGGAGTCCCAGGTATGGTGTTATGGCATGAGGGCCCAGACACGTTGATCCGCGGTGTTGAAATCCCAAGAATTGTATCTAGATGCTGCAATGCCGTGACGAAGGCATTTGCGATTTGGTATGATGTTGGGTTAGCCTATCCCTCTGGATATTCCTAAAATGCGCAGGTGGCTCCTGCGCTCACACTGAGTTATTTGGGCTCCTCTTCATTCCTAGACTGTTATCTCAAAGCAGGGTTAGAATTACCCCGCCCAATCTATCATGAAACATCATGAAACGTTGGGCGGGATGCATGTCCGCGCGGAGTCATCCCACAAGCCATCTGGGCGTAGGTGGCCCAGAGAGGCTCATCTTCCAACGTCCTTCTTCCCCTTCGGGGAGGGGTTTATCACTGTTCCCTATTAATGTACACCCCCTCCCCCACCCGGCAGCCACCCTGGAATAATGAGGACCCCATGATGGACCCCCCCCACTATTCCTATCAGAAACAATACAAAACGCACGCTGCCTCCACATTTGAAGCATGCGCGGCCGCCCCGCGACCATTTTGCATGGGTATTTTACAGGGACGGCTGGGGTGCCAGCTGATTCCACCTGCCTTCTGGGCGCAGGTGGTCGACCGACTGGCTTGACACATCAGTGGCTGCTGCCTTTTCGCCTTATCGTTTCCGATGGGCTGTCGAAACCTCCAAATGGTTCCAAAATTGGCCCAGAAAGCTTAAAGCCAGGCCCAAGAGGCTTCCAAACGGACCCCAAGAACGCCCCAAGTTGGCGCCACGAGGGCGCCGAGAGGCGATTTGGGGGGCCCCAGAAGGGGGGGCCTCCAGGTGGATGACCCAAGAGAGCTCCAAGCCGGGCCCAGGAGGCCTCCAAGACAGCTCCAAGAGCGCCCCAAGGTGGCCCAAAGAGGGTCTCGAGGCTGGTCTGAGGGCCCCTGAAGGGGGGGCTAGCCCCAAATAGGGGGAGGAGGGGGAACGTCCCCCCATTGTGTGTTGATCGACTGCTTCCAAGATGGCCCTCAGAAGCTCTCTACGGCTCTCACGAGGGCCCCAAGAGTAATGGCCCAAGAGACGACCGGAAACCCCGACCATGAGGCCGCAGCGTCGAAATCCGACGAAGCTCTTCCAAGCAAGCGGTTGTATGAATATGTTCGCGTGAAACAAAGGGAGCCCCAGAAAAACACAGCACCAGGACACCAGGGGCGCCAGCAAGGCCAGGGATTCAACCGGCCTTGCCGGCGTCCCTGGCAAGTGCCGCACATGGCGCGCCTGGCACGCTTGGGCCTCCAGGGTCTGGTGCATCTCGTACCCGTGGCGTCTGCGGCGTTCTTACGCGATATGCTGACATCCAGGTGTTCCTTACGTGTTGGGAGGGCGGGTGGGAGTTAGCAAGACGGTTTGCGGACGGGTGGGTAGCTTGCCCCCTCCCCCTGCCCCCTCCCCTGGACCTGGACGGGGCACCCTACGCGTTCAAGATGGCCCAAGACGGCTCAGAGCGCCTCGGAGAGTCCAAGATGGCCTCCAAGATGGCTCAATATGCCTCAAGGTGGCTCAAGATGGCTCGCTCCAAGAAGCTCCAAGACCGCTCCAAGATGTGTCAAAGTGGCCCGAGAGCCTCCCCAGGAGGCCGCCAAGAGGCCAACATCCTTCCAACACCGAGTGGACATCAATATTGTTTGCCGTCTCGCCATCCGAGGCCTCAGTAGGGCTCCGAGATGGCCCAAGAGGCCCCCAAGAGGGGTCCAATAGAGCCCCAAGACGGCTCCAAGAGCGCCCCAAGATGCGATGCCTTGGGCTCCCGAGGTCCCGAGGGGGGACCCTAATTGAAGCTCCCTTCTGTTTTGGTCGATGTCTTCCAAGATGGCTCCAAGAGCGCCCCTAAAGCTCCCATGAGCGCCCCAAGAGGGCCCCAACAGGCGCCCAGACGGTTCCAAGAGGCGTCCAAAGGGCCTCCAAGAGACTCCCAAAAGACCCCCAAGAGGCCCCAAGAGGATCCCCGAGGCACCCAAGACGGCCCTGGGCCCGCCAAGATGCCTCCCCAGACGCCCCAAGAGGCCTCCAAAAAGCTTCCAAGCGACATCCGAGGAGACCCCGAGATGCATTCAAGAGTCTTCTGGCTCTTCTGCTCGCCTGTATCCTCCTCCTCCTCCTCCTCCTCCTCCTCCTCCTCCTCCTCCTCCTCCTCCTCATCATCATCATCATCATCATCATCATCATCATCATCATCATCATCATCATCATCATCATCATCATCATCATCATCATCATCATCATCATCATCATCATCATCATCATCATCATCATCATCATCATCATCATCATCATCATCATCATCATCATCATCATCATCATCATCATCATCATCATCATCCTCCTCCTTCCTTCCTCCTCCTCATCCCCTCCTTCTCCTCCTACTTCTCCTCCTCTTCCTCCTCCTCCTCCTCCTCCTCTTCCTCCTCCTCCTCCTCCTCTTCCTCCTCCTCCTCCCTCCTCCTCCTCCTCCTCCTCCTCCTCCTCGTCCGCTTACTCTTCCTCCTCCCTCCTCCCTCCTGCCTCCTGCCTCCTCCCCCTTCCCCATTCCCCATTTCCTCCTTTTCCTTCTCCTCCTCCCTCCTTCTCCTCATCCTCCTCGTCCGTTTCCACGTTATCCTCCTCCTTCTTTCTCCTCGCCATCCTCTTCCTCCTCCTCCTCCTCCTCTTCCTCCTCCTCCTCCTCCTCATCATCGTCATCATCATCACCATCATCATCATCACCCTTCCTCCTCCTCCGCCTCCTCCTTGTCCTCCTCCGATTCCTCCTCATTATTCCCCCTCTTGGGGTAAGACGGTTCCTGTATCCCTGTGTTCCCCTGCATGCCCCCATATTTCCATCATCGTTGATCATGTCAGCTCGTCTGGGCATCGTTTCTGGATGGGCTGGCGGAAATATTTGTGTTCGGTTCGCGAGCGCGCAGGGGTGCCAGGCGCCGTCGAGAAAGGCGGCTAACAAGCAGCGGCCTAAATTCCGCACAAGCGCACACAGGAGCGGGCTACGCTGCGGCTCAGGAGACGCTGTGGATCAGGAAGAACCACTGGTCGAAGTGCAGAACCAAAATGGGCGGCGTCAACAATTTCTACTCCGCCCGCTCCGCCAGTCATCAGTCATCTTGTACGCAGACCACATACTACTGCTGCCTCGGCAAAACGCTGAGGGCTCTCAGACGGTTATCTCTGAATGGAGCTCTTCCTGCACTGCAAATAAATTCGTGTTGGGACCCGGAAAGAGAGAGAACTGTGGGGAGGGTTTAGTGCAACATCGTCGATGCGTCTTGGGTTTGCACTGGTCCTCCCTTTCCTCCTCCTCCTCTTCCTCCTCCTCCTCCTCTTCCTCCTCCTCCTCCTCCCTCTTCCCCTGCTCTGGCGGATGCGTCGTCGCCGCCCTCGTCGTTCGCCGCCGTCACCATCGTCGTTCGCTGCTGTCGTCGTCGTGGTCGTCGCCGTCCGCTGCTGTCGTCGTGTTCGCTATGCGTTGCTTTTTGAGGGTCTCGGGGCCCCCGAAGGTGTTCAACCTTGGCACCCGCGCCGACGTCGTCGCCGCGCCGAGGCGGCACCAGGAAGCTAGAAACGCACGTGGCTGGATCCGCATGCGGAACGCATGCGGGCCGTTTCGCTTCGGCCGCCGTCCGGCTGCCTTCCGCCGAGGAAGAGCTGCCAATTCCCTCGAGCCTCCCAGGCGAGGCCCTTTCTCCTTTCTGGAACGCGCTGTGTGTGTGTGTGTCCTGCGCCTCTGGCCCCCCGTGGCAGCCTTCCCTTCACCGCTGCACCGTGCACGGATTGTTCGCTCGTGCACAGAGCTCGTGGTGCTCGCGCGTGGTCTTCAACCCGCCTTGGCGCCGCACGTCCGTGGCATCGCGTGGCTCGTGAAGTTTAGCTGGGGCCTACGGGCTCAGCGGGCAATGTTCGATGTGGAGACAACATCTAAAAGGAGGGGGCACGACGAGGAAGAGGAGCTTGAGCAGCAGCAGCAGGAGAGGATGGGGGAGTGAGCACGAGGAGGAAAAAGAGGGAGGGAGGGAGGGAGGGAAGGAGGGAGGGAGGAGGAGAATACAGGAAGAAAAGGTAGATGTGGAGGTGCAGGAGAAGGAGCAGGACGACGAGGAGGATTAGTAGACTGGAAGGGGGGGAGCAAGAGGAGGGCGAGGAGAAGAAGGACGGGGAGAGGGGAAGAGGAGGAAGGAGAACTCCTTATCCCTCTGGCGGCGTCTTCGTTGTTGCCGTTCGTCGTCGTCGTCGTCGTCGTCGCCGTCGTCGTCGTCGTCGTCGTCGTCGTCGTTCATGAACGCCGCCGCCGCCCCGAATCATGAACCCGGTGCGACCCAAAATAGGGAAAAGCCTATCGCATGGGCGCATCGCTGGGCATGCATCGCTTGGCATTGCTTGGCATTGCTTGGCATTGCTTGGCATAGGTTGGCATTGCGTGGCATTGCTCAGCATGGGTTGGCATGGTCTGGCATGGCTTGGCATTGCTTGGGGCGACCAGGAGCGGTGACCCCGAGGAACCCGGGGAAGCCGAGGAACCAAGGGAACCCGAGAAACCTCCGAGCAACGGGCAACGTAAGAATCGGAGGCACCGAGGGCGAGGAACTCCGGGAACCCGAGGAACCCAGGGAACCTCCGAGCAACGGGCAACGCACGAATCCTAGGCACCAGCCTTTAACCAGGTAAGAACCTCTTCGGCAAGCCCCAATGGGGGAAACGTCCGCTCGAAGCCGATCCCCAGACCCCTTCTGGGATCAATCCTGGCCAGATCCCAACCGCGCCCGGCCGTGGCGACGGGAACCTTCAGAAACGGTAGGCAACCTTCCAGGACGCCGACGACGTCGTCGTCGTCGTCCGCTGTCGCGTCGACGTCGTCGCCGCCTCCGGCCGCCGTCGTCGCCGTCGTCGTCGTCGTCGTCGTCGTCGGCGTCATTGCCCGTAGTAGCCGTCTCTGCCTCGGCCAGCGGGTGGGCGGCCTCCAGGACCCGGTAGTAGTTGGGGCCCTCCTGGACGCCGATGCCCGCGGCCGCGGCGTCGTCCTCCGCCGCCCACTGGCCGCCGGTCGCCGGGCCCTGCTCCAGCCAACCGTACCCTCCTCCTCCGCCTCCTCCTTATCCTCCTCCTCCTCGTCAGGAGCTGCCCCCCATCCGTGTAGCATGTGCGCAATTTCAGATTTCTGGGCATCTCATGGGCAATATCTCAAGCAAAACATGCATGTTGACAAGGACCCGCCCTCCATCCCTGCGCGGCCCTGAGGTGAGAGCCGCATCTTTGAACCCCCCTCTATCCGTGTAGATGTTGGAGTGGTTTAGGGAGAGCGCGCGCGGCTCTAAGGCATCTTGAAATTGAACCGCCCTCCACCCCCCTACAGGCTGACATCTTTTAAGACGAATGTGCGCGGCGCTGAATGGAGAAAAACGTTTTGAAAACGACCAGTCCTAAATGCTGGAAATCTTCAAACGAATGTGCGCTGCGGTGGCGCTAGAATCACATGTTGACCCCCCCCTTGACCCGTGAAGCTGTTGGACTAATGTGTGAAAAGCGCGCACGCCTCTATGGCGATATACACATCTTGCAAAGGAGCCGCTCTCCACCCGCGTACCTGTTGACAACTTTCAAGTCGCGACGCTAGGGCGAGAGCCACATGTGGTAAACAACCGCCCATCCATCTATGTAACTGTTGGAAGCTTGTCCAGTTTGAAAGCGCCACGCTCTCCATCCGTGCCCCCGGTAGCAACTCTTCAGAGCAATACACGCGGCGTAACGGCAAGATGTGCATTTTGGAAACGCCCCCCCTCCATCCGAGTAGCACCTGGGCATTTGAACTTCGGGGTAATCGACGGGAGAAGTCTCAAGCGGAACGCCTGGCCCAACACGTATGGTGGTCAAACAAGGAGGAAATGCCAGTGTTGACCACCATGGGCGCAACATTGTGTTTCTAGCAGCGCTAGTCGTGCAGTGTATGTTGCGCAATGTAAGGTGTGCAACACAGGTTTTGCCATCCACGTGGCGCAATAGATGTGGCGCAATAGATGTAACGCAATAGATGTTGTGCAATCTACGTTGTGCAATCTAGGTCGCGCAAACTGTGTTGCAATACGCGTGGTGCAATCTATGCGGTGCATGTAATAGTTGTTCGCAATGACTTATCCACTCCACTGCTCGCGCAATCATCCCACCCACCCACCCACCCGCAACTCGGTTCGCAGAACCCATGCGGCCGCGATTACGATGAGTGCTTGGAGTTGGCTGGTGCATTTCTGCGGCCGCGCTGGCCCGCGCATGCTCGCGCGCGCAGCGGCCAAACAGTTTGGCGCGACCGACGCGGCCGCGGTGGCGCTGACCGTTGGGTACGTCCCAACGGGCACTCCAGTGCGAGTCGGCGATTTGGGCGGGCGAGGTCTCATGGCAACGTCGACAGCAGCAGACACCATGATGCTGGTAACGATGCTGGTGGAGATGATGACAATGACGACGGCAAAAGGCAATGACGGCGCCGATGCTGATGACGCCGACGACGATGACGGCGCACTCGCGTCGGTGATGAAGGTTTTGGGGGGAGCGCGGCCGACGCGCGAAGGTGGCCCGCATGGTATTATTTGGCACGGATTGCGCCCCCCCCCCAAGCACGCGCGCAAGGGCGTTCGAATGATTTCGACGTGCGGCGCGAGGGCCCGTTCGCCTAACGTAACGTAATGACAATGCTGAAAAAATGTTAATTATTCGCACCCCCAGAGGCCACAATCCTTCAACGTCCTACGGAAAATCAGTGATTGTTTGTTTTCTCGCTTCTTCGCTTCCGACGCGCTGATGGCCCAAGGGAGAGGGGCCCAAGAGGGGCCCAAGGGGCCGTATGGACGGCCCCAAACGCGGCCCAAGAGCGCTCCAAGAAACTGTTTCGAAGGTTTTTTTTGGGGGACGGAAACCGGGAACCACACCCTTTTGATCGATGGCCTCCAAGATGGCCACAAGAGGCCCTCTGGGGATCCCACTGGACCCCAAAGAGGGCCCCAGGAGGGCCCCAAATAGGGGCCCAAGACCCTCCGAAAGACCCCCAACATGACTTCTAGATCCCCCAAAAAGAATCACAACAGGACTGCAAGAGGCGATTTTGAAGGCTCTGTCCTCGTCCTCTGTACCCTTTTCCTTCTCCTCCTCCTCCTCCTCCTCCTCCTCCTCATCATCATCATCATCATCATCATCATCATCATCATCATCATCATCATCACCACCACCACCACCACCACCACCACCACCACCATCATCATCATCATCATCATCATCATCATCATCATCATCATCATCATCATCATCATCATCATCATCATCATCATCATCATCATCATCATCATCATCATCATCACATCATCATCATCATCATCATCATCATCATCATCATCATCATCATCATCATCATCATCATCATCATCCCTCTCCTCCTCCTCCTCCTCCTCCTCCTCCTGCTCCTGGACCCGATCCCACGCGAAGCCAGGCTCCGCGCCGCGTACCGCTTCCGCCACCGCATGCCCAGAGGGTAGAGGCGGGTGGCGCCTCCGAACAAAACTCAAACGACCGAACGAGTTACAGATGCCGAGCTGGTCCCTCTAGCTCGGATGATGTCCGCCGTCCTGCACGGGGCCACCAGGAATATCAAGGTCTTGTTAACCTGGACCTAGCGGGCGTCCTGGCAAGATTGGCCAGGACTCGGGCCCCCCACGACCCCGCAGGCGGCGGACCCTCACAGGCCACCGAAAGGCTGGCGGTGACGAGAGCTCCTCCTTTCCCACACACGCAGCACACCACACAGCACATAAGACGACCCTCCCCGACGACAACCTGGAAAGGGTGCACTACATGCTGCCGTGCCTCGCTGGAGGCGGCAACTCAGACACACGCCAGGTCAGCCCTTGAAAGCACAGGGGGCAGACGCGTTGGCGGTGGCTGCTGGACATGCAGCACGGGCGCACGCTGTGCAGCCTGCTGTCGAGCCGACCTCTGTTTGGCGGTCAAATGCTTGGCGTCCACGTCGGCCATGCCAGGACCGATGCGAGCGACCCAGGTGGCCCACTCTTTAACAACTCTAGCTTTGGCGATCCACGAGGTACGAATGGGATCAGGCACGCGCGATCTGTCACACTGCCACTGGGCCCACTCGTCGGCAAGATCATTCCCAGCTTTGCACAACGGGGCGGAGAGGCCAGCCTGGAGACCCGCATGCGTGCAATGCGCTCGCACTTTGACCACGCGCACTCATTCCAGACCCCCCCCCCCCGCTCCTCAATCTGGTGCCAGACTTGAATCCACAGCTCGGCCCACGCCGAGCGCGAGGACTCACAGAAATGACGGCCACGACAATGCAGACCCTCGTGCACAAACGCGCTGTCAGTGTAGAACGTCGTGCCAGGGCTCGAATGCTGCAGACCCCGCAGAAGCGCGGTCAGCTCGGCCGCATTAATGTCCGCACGCAGCAAGTCCAGCGTGCCACAAAACACGGAAACAGCGCGGAAACTATCGGGGTAGATGGCCACCAGGGCCCAAGCCAGCGCTTGAGACGGCCTTGGGAGACCTTGGTCCATCCAGGACCCGTCGAGAAAAACGTGCCCCCCATCTCAGCAGGCCCCCCTCCAAACCACCTCGCAGGAGCCGCGGGGGAGGGGGGGGGGGGCGCAACAATCGGCACGAGCAGCCTCTCGGCGAAGGGGGGCGGAAACGGCTCAGCGGCAGCTCGAACGAGGCCGGACGCATAAGCGGGCGGTCGGGAAGCCTGCATCAGATCCTCGTGCATGCCGCGCGCTCCGTGCCTGCGCAGAAGTGCGCCTGGGCTGTTCTGGCAGCCCTGGCAGAGGCCATCTGTGGAGAGTCCGTGCTGCCACTGTCGATGCTGTGGACACTGCCCTCCAGCGACGGCCGATCTCAAATGACCTTTCTCCTGCGGCGTGAGGACATGGCCACGCAGGAGGGAGAGGGGCGGAGCAAGGTCGCACCCGTTGGCAAGCTCGGGCGCCCCCTCACGCACGGCGACCTTGCTCCACAACCAATGCTGAATGACACGAACGAGCCAGGCACGAATGGCGCGTGGTGACTGTTGCAGAACATCGACGCTGCCGGCCCTGCCGTGGCTCCAGACAGGGCCGTTGATACTAAACCCCAGACGTTTGGCCGTGGCCGCGCAGGCCGCGAAGGGACCGCGAACGGCGGCCCACGGGGCCCCATGGCCCTGGAGGGCGGCCACGGCCTCCTGGAGCCCTTGGAGAAGCAAGCGCCGAGGGGGGATAAAACCCCAGACAGCCGAAGCAAACGCTATGAGCAGATCTATCTGCAGACGGAAGGCTGGGTCGCACAGGGGCTTATCAGACAACATGGGCATGAGAGCGATACTTTTTCCCCGCAAGGCTGAAACTCTGAACGTGAGCCTGCGTGGCCCGCGCATCTCGCAAAGATGCGTTGCAGGAGCCGTGCACCTTGCCCCCATAACCAGTGGAGGCCAAGACAGCTGCCTGAATCATCGCGTGCATGCGCCGCTGGGAAACGCGCTTGCAAAAACTGAGGAGCCGCGCGGCTCTCGCGCGCCCAAGAGTTCTCCGCTCGTGGTGCGTGGCTCTGAGATGAACCTTCGCGGCAGTAAAGTCAATGCCCAGATTCCGCTCGGTGCGCGCTGTCTTCACCTGGAAACGCGCCAGCTGCTGCACGAGCTGAGTGCGCACGACGTGCGACGACCCGACGACCCGACCCGAGACTTCCGACGAGCGACGGGGAGGTGGATCCTTTCCCGCCCAGCGCGCACCATGCGTGTGGCGCCTGCGAGGTGCTCAACAACATCCGTCTCACGACCGACGCTGTGCGCCCCTATGTCGTCGACCACCGCCCCTAAGCGCACAAGCTTGAATCGTCGTTGCACAGCGTCCAGAGGTCATATCCAGACCATCTGCAACATTCGCGTAGCGAAATGACACCCTGGCAGCACCGCCGCCAGAGTTGAAACAGGATCCGAAACAACATCATTGACGCTCAAAACCCTGGGCAGGCGGTAGAGCTCAAC